GAAGATTTTTATACTGTTATTTGTGTACTGTTATTGACTGCACTACAGTAGAATATTTTTCTGGTAATTTATCTTCATATTTTATTCAGGAAATCGGCCTTGTCCTGTTGGGAAAAGAACGCCAAGGTTCCCCGTTTCAGTTTCAAATGAAAATGCTAATGGAGAGAAATTTGTTTCTCCTACAAGGCGAGGTCTTAAAATCAAAGCTAATGCCAATGATGATGAAGTAGCTCATGAAATAGCAAGGGCTTTGGCTGAGGCATCAAATAGAGGTGGTTCTCCTCAGGTTTCTCGAACACCAGATAGAAGACCTGACAGTGTTATGCCATCACCATCCAGGCGTGTCCAGAGAAAGGTAACAGGACAGTTTGCTTGGCCTTTTGGTTTGAAAAGTATATTTATATTAGTGAAATGTTACTACAAATTTGTTTTTGGACCAAAAAACAAAAAGAAGAATGAATATTGTGAAGTGTGATTGCGTCTGAGTCGGGTGTATTCATGAATGTGACTGGAAATTTAAAAACTGAGTGACTTGTTCTTGAAAGTTTTTCTGAACAGACATGTGTTAAAGACAAATTCCTCTAAAGAAAATTATCTATAAGCAAGCACCGCTTATTTGTGACATTTTTCCAGAATATTTGTTATGGACCAAAAAACAAAAAAGAAGAATGAATATAATGAGTGTGATTGCATCTGAAGTGAGTACATTCATGAATGTGGTTGGCAATTTAAGAGCTGAGTGAATAGTTCTTGAAAGATTTTCTGAACAGACAAGACAAAATCTTCTCGAGAAAATTATCCATGAGCAATCACTGCGTATTGGTTGACAGGATTTCCGCAATCAACACCTTTGTCACTTATCTTATAAACTATTCTTGGCTACAGCGTTCTTTAGAAGAAATGGCCAGTACCAAAATGTTGTCTGCTGATAGGGATGAAGAATTAGAAGGAAGTATAGAGCCTGACACTGGAGGGTTGTCTAGGTATATATTCTCATTGAAGAAGAAGAAGGCAAGCAAATCAGAATGGAAGAAGTTTGAAGTTGACAATAATAGTGATGATCATTTGGTTGACATCAGGGAAGAATGTAATGGAACAGAAGAAGATAAAACGCCCGGGGCAGCGGGGGGCAGGCATGATGTGGATGTGGATATGGATGATGTCAAGAATTCTTCCATGAGCAGTCAGAAAAAGAAGAGCAAAAAGGTTTTGTTTAGAAAAGGTATGACAAATCTTGTCAGTTCTTTCTCTACCGCGTTTTCAAATCCTTGTTTGCTTCTTTGGTTATCTTGCATGCCATTTTTGTAACTGGGTTCTTAGATTTTTCCCTGATCAATATGTTACACCATAAAATGCTGTTCATGCAATGCTTTATTTATTTATTTTTCTTACAGATTTATTGTCTTTTTTGTTTTGCATCTAATATTGAGGTGCTAGGAACTCATTAGTCAGGTAGGAGTCTTCTGTATGAAATAAGGTTGTTCATGATCAAACCACTGTGCTGATATGTGTTGTTTCCATCAGGTGCCTGAATTTCTTGAAAAGGCTAGACATATTATTATATATATGTTCTTTTTCCTCTTGAATGCTTGATCTTGGGAAATAATATTTTTATTTGGCTGTTTTATTTGCCATTAGTTTCATGTTAAAGATATTTTTTGTCTTTCTAGATGAAGTTCCCGCCTTTGATGCCCTGCAAACTTTGGCTGATTTGTCGTTGATGATGCCAACCGAGAATGATGAGGGTCAGTAACCCACATTTTTCCTAGTTTAAAGCTGTGATTTATGCATGAACTTAAGCTAAATGTTTAAGATATTTTGATGATATTGCCTAAGGAACATTTATTGAGTACAGAATATTTAAGTTTACAATCTTGCTCAAGCAGTTGAATTTGTTATAAGAGATGAAACGTGATTGGTTTCCAGTCATAGGAAGTCTAGAGCTTTTATTATTCTGTTACATTTAGTGACTTAGGAATTTAATAACTTCAAATTTTAGTTCTTTGAAGGTGTTTCTATATGATGGAGCAATGCAGCTTACGGGCAATATCAGCATTGATCAATACCATTGTTTTTCAATATCACATGATGACTGAATTTCTTGGGACTAACTTTTGCAATTGCCCTGCCATTCGTCAAATTCAGAGATGCAGTTTAAAAATGAAGATGGCGAGTTGGAGTCATCAAAAGCTCAGCCCATGAGTCAACAAAAGGAAAAACGTAGATACTCAGGGGTGAGAACGGAAGGGCATCAGGCAATATCGAGTTCTGAAGTTTCTTTCAGTAAAAAATCAAGAACTGTAAAAACTTCAGTTTCGAACACCAGTTCTGTCTCTGTTTCGGAAGAAAATCAGGATATCCCTAACGCTATCACTAAAACATCGAGAAGAAAACAAAAGTTGCAAATGCCTAAGGTATGCATGGAACGTCTCCTTCTGTTGCTCATCATTGTTGTGAATC